GAGACGGGGTATGATGCGCGGTTAGCGAAGGGATAAAGGCATCTACCTTTGCAGACGAGGATCATTTCTGACCCATTTTTAACTGTCTCGAAAGGTATAAGCTTTCCTTAGTTACCTAATTTACTCACAACAAGAGCTGGCTCATATCTCGCAGTGCTGGTGCGTATTGGCCACATGTTGGCTAATGAAGCTGAAGTTCATTCCAGCTTTTTTAAAAAGATACTACGCGCTTAAAAGTTTTTGGGATTCAACAAAATGGTTCAAGTGTCTTTAATGACACTAATACCAGGAGAAACAGTTTAAGCGTCAACAATGTGAAACAAATGCTGGTTTACAAGAGGATGGCTAGCCGGTGGTCCCACTTTGTGATAAATGATCGCTTACGCTAGCTTGATTGATATGTGGCGTTTAACGTCCCAAAACCACCATATGATTATGAGAGACGCCGTAGTGGAAGGCTCCGGAAATTTCGACTACCTGGGATTCTTTAACGTGCACCCAAATCTGAGCACACGGGCCTACAACATTTCCGCCTCCATCGGAAATGCAGCCACTGCAGCCGGGATTCCAACCCACGACTTGCGAGTCAGCAGCCGAGTACGTTAGCCACTACAGACCACCGCGGCGGGGCCGCTTACGCTAGCTACAGTGTTGTCTATTGTTGGGTATAATGTTAGCTGCCGTCAGCTAACATTAACTGCACGCCTTTGCAAAAGCAACAATGTCGACGTCATTCAGTCACAATCCAACGACTAACCTATTTACAATTTTGTAGCATTACTTTCCTGCTGTTGTAGTGTGATGATGCTGTTGTATGAAGTATGTGAACCCCAACGCCCTGAGACCACAAGACGAATCACGTTAACATTTCGAATGGTAACGTTTTGCAATGGCGCCGGTTCATGCGAGACAAAACTGCTGAAGAGAAGCAATACTTTTCACAATCTTTCGGATTGTAAGCAGCCAGGCCACCAGCTTCAAAGGTACTGGAAACAGACAGTAGGTGGTTTATTAGCGGGTAACCTTGCTTCAAAAGCATTTCTCATTGGATGAACGAGAACAACGAAGATTCTACGAATGTGCTCGTGGTAATGGAAAAGCTGGCACTGCTAGATATATGAAAGCGTAGGATGCTTACACTATTGCCAAAGAGCATGTACTTAATTAAAATTGAAGCACACATGCGCAGGCAGACAAACGGAGCGTAGATGATTGCAAGAGATTTAAAACTTAATTATGTTGTTATAGATTGGGACGGACGACTAATAACGGCAAAGCAATCCAAAGCACTCTCTTTGAACTTTTTTTTTCGAAAGCAAATTGTGCCCCTGCTTTAAAAATAGTAGAGCAATTAAGTGGTGCGCTAGTGATATAAAAAGCGCGCTTTCGTTATCACTGAATGTACTCGGCCATGCATGCACCTTCGTATATCGTTCAAAATTATAAGAAAGGCTGCTTATTTCTTTGATAACCATGGCAAATCGAAGCTCTCATTTTACCAATTTTCCTTCTTACCTTCTGAACTAAGGCTGTCCTCTGTCCTACTGAATTATCACAAATTAAAAAAAACTCAATGGTAATTGCAACAATCAAACTCGTTGAACAATCTTCATGTTATTTTAAATTGTCAGTTTAGGCACTGCTTAAAATGAAGAAATGTTCGGCTGGTTGCTTCGTGGAGCTCTGTGGCAGTGCCATTAAGGTTGTAGAAACTTCATTACAAGATTGACCTGATCTAACCTTAGTAAGCAGACTTAAACATTCCCACTGAAACTTTCCAAGGGAAACGTTTAATCTTCATTTCTTTATAATAGCACAACTTTTGAAATGAAGACGGAATGCTCTTATGCGACCAGTAAAACGTGCTCTGAATTAAACTTTTAATAAAGCGGGTAGCTTGTTTTTCGCGAATAAGGGCTCAGACCCAGTAGCCCAGAAATCGTATGACAAATTTGTTCGTGTGAAATAATGTTGACTAGTCATGGAGCGGACTTCTGATTAGCGAAGTTGCTTGCCAATTAGTAGTAAGAACCACTTATGAAATAAAAACTTTGTGAACTTATCCACAAACCATTAAAATTGGTGCCGCATAAAAACAAGTTATTTCATTGGTATTAGTACTATTATTCCTTAAAATGCCAAAAGCACTACTACTCTCCGCGCGAGACGATACGTAGTAAACGAGAAAAAAACTCAAAAAAGAAAGTGCAGGTGTTCATGCCAGCTTGAAGTTCCTATAATTATTTGTTGTGACGTCATAGGATTTTGATCATCTCAACTAAAACATGAGTAGTATTTAATCGTTAAAATTAACTAAGGTATGTTGTGTACTCTACGTAGCGATGTTTAATATTTTCAGAAAATGTTGCAAATTTCAGACGTAAAGAACCAAGTTTCACAAAATTTTGTTGAGCCAATCTGCCCAAAATACCAAAAAACATAACACATGCTAATTTGTGATGTTGAGCTCACATTCCCTCGCACTAATTTCGACGCAAAGCTCAGAAATAATTCTTTGAGATACCGTAGAGCGCAGTCACCGACACTCCTTTATCAATTGGACGTGTCATCATAATTTGTATAATTTCTTCATCTGTAGCTACCATCATCAGTGTGTGCCAGCTCGAGCTCGTCTCGAATAAAGCTCTTCCTCAGTAAGTGGTGGACGATGCTTCTCGATCCCCAAGTCCTCTCGCACGCTCTTCCTCATAACACACCTTTTTTTTTTCATTTATAAAACCATAATGTTGAAGTTAACTACTAACTGACCTTTCAAAGAACAGTTTCCGCATCTAAATCGACAGATTTTTTCATTTTATTATTCCTTTAACAGCACGACAGCAGACAGTGGAGAAGACTGTGTGAGATTGTCAGAGCGCTGGTTTCTCTTTAGGTGCTCCTCTAGGTCATGTGCTACTCTGTTGAAACTACACATAAACAGATGAAATTTTTCACCCGTCATCCTGAAGATCCTAACCTAGTCGATCGCCCGTCTTGCAGCACTAATGTGGTGAGTGTCGACTACGGTATATACAGTGATCACATGTACGCACGAATAATACATACAGCCAGCCACGCACGCGCCTACAGCGGTCAGCTGTACGTATTATTGCGTACATTATGTGAACCTCATTCATAGAACGCGTGCTTGGCGAAGTCATCAGATAAAAGGAAAGAACGCTCCACATTCACTGTCATGGCTACGAGCGGTGCTAACTAACACCCACGAATTTGCATGCACATGAATTGATTGATATGTGGGGTTTAACGTCCCAAGACCACCGTATGGTTAAGAGAGATGCCGTAGTGGAGGGCTCCGGATATTTCAACCACATGAAGTTCTTTAACGTGCACCCAAATCTGAGCACACGGGCCTACAACATTTCCGCCTCCATTGGAAATGCCGCCGCCGCAGCCGGGATTCGATCCCGCAACATGCGGGCCAGCAGCCGAGTACCTTAGCCACTAGACCACCGCGGCGGGGCTGTATGCACATGAATAGCCGACTGAGTGACCAGGGGGATGGCCACCGCCGTAGCTGAATTGTCAAAAGCATTTGTTTTCTGCCGGCGGCAAGTTGCCTTTTTCGTGTGCTTTCATTTCTTCACATCTGTATCATAATTACTGCAATGCACTTGAAAAGAGTACTGATAAGGCCCTCTTGTACCTTCCTTGGCTTCATTATTTATTGTTTTTTTATTAAGGATGAGTCAGTGAAACAATACGCCTAAATTCTCTCCATTCGTACACAAAAGAGTTATTCTTAAAGTTTCATTCAGGTGTGCAGTTTTCAAAAACGCCAACAGCGCGTTCATATTGTGTATTCCTAGACGCTGCCTTGTCACCGGACGAGAAGGTACTGCAGCACCAAGCTCAAGCCGTGTTGCAAAGGTAGTTCTCTGATTTTCTATAAATGCAATGTAGATCGTATTTTAATTGGTTGTCTTGCATTTCGAAGCCACCATATTATTACGAACTATAAGCCGTAGTGGAGGGCTCCGGAAATACCGCTAGACCACGGAATACCATAGCAGGTCTGTACCATGGCAGACCACCTTGTCAGGTCTGTAGGACACAATATCTTGGATTGAAACTTGTTGTAATATAAACGCAGGCATTGAATGTATTTCAATGCAGGGCAAGTCTAAATGGTTCACTCGTTTTAAATAGACCACATTTACAAAAGTATTACACGTACACACATGAATGATCCGAAAATATGCTAAGTTTATACACCACCTACGAATGTTCAATATGTGCCCCTGTGGTGACATGAAACACGTCCAGATGCTTATCGAGCTCATTATGCACATAATGTAGCAGAGTCATGTCATCAGTCCTGTCAGTCCAGCTCTGATGCATTCTCCGAGTTAAAATAAGGATCGAGTTAGGTGGGGCACGTAAACAAAGCTTATAACATAGCCTGGCAAGGTTGTGGTTCTTTTAAACACTTCTCCTCGGATGCCCACATTATCAAAAATTATGCAGAACAGATTCATACTACCTCATTTGGGTTCGCTTTCTCGCGAGGACGAGCGCACATCCAATACCCGCCACGCGACGACAAAAGAAGCTTAGGCGTTGAGCTACAAGGTAATTATGAAGCACAAAAAGCACTTGCGACATGTGCTGGTACAGGTGGCCTGTTTCGAGTGGTCTAGAAGAGGTCAACCAACTCGGGCAATAGCGACTCTATGGAACCACTACTGAAGAGAGATTCACACGAACTGATGCTAGTTTAATATGCTTACGCTGTACACCCAACAAACCCTTCCTCACCTATTGCCAAAAAGCGGCCCAGCCGTCTTCTTCTTTGAAATATTCGGTCCAATTCATTATTTCATTATTTCATTATTAATTAATTCACTCACATGTCTTTCATGCGTGTACGTGGAATACTTTTGACAACATTGCGTTTGCAAAACGAATGAATCTTACGTATGCTATAACTTTCAAGAGAAGGGGGGTCGAAAAGTCCACGTAATAGAAAGGTCACGTGCCTGGTGGTCGTCGGGCGTCCAGATGCCGCAGAGCACGGCCGCACGGTCCAGGTGCAGCGTGGATGACCAGTAGCGCTGTCCGGCCACCGAGCCGACGAGCACGAACCCGTCGCGGTAGCAGATGAGCGCCATACGGCCGTCGTGGCTCCAGGCGAAGTCGGTCACCTGGGTGTTGCGGTCGTTGATGAGCTCGATGGACCAGCGACCTTCGTACTTGATCCACACGAAGATCACGCCGCTGCTGTCGCACGACGCAAGCTTCTGGTACGGCTCATTCCACTTGACCAGAGTCACCTGGGAAAAACAAAAGCGAACTTGGTGAGCAATGCTGTTTGCACGCAGTGAACCTGTTAATCGGGCAACTAATAAAGTACAACAAAAAGGATTGTTGCGGCTTAGTTTGGCTAAGCCTGGTTGAGCAGGCGAAAGCTTGTTTGCTTGGTTATGCTTGTTTACCTTCCTCGCCGAAGTTCAGTTTGCCAACCGAACGATATGGCTAGTCGAACGTTCTACGCTGCGCGCACTGAATACAGTCAATTAGCCAGTTTTCGAGGCTGCCGTTGCAGACCACGCGAGAAGCTCAAGGCCCCTAAACCACCAACAGACCCTCGCGTGCTCCTCTGCTAGTAGGAAGCATTCATGTGCGCGCGGAGACGCGCGCACGTGAAGGCTCTCTACCTGCTAGTCGATACGCGCACTCCTTGCTTTTTCTCATCGGAAGCTGAGGAATGGCATTCGTAGAGGTTGACAAGCGGGCCGACGAACGCGTTTCTTGTAGGCGCGTGCACAACCGCAACGCAACTATGTTTCGCGCGGCTCGTCACGGAGTGTCCTTTCTTCGCTTTAAGGCCACGCCCAGATACACAAGAACAAAAGTCGCTTGACTAAGGCTAGTATATTTTTCACTTTAAAAAGAGCAGTCGGAAGTCAGCATTTCTCCAGTGTGTCTTTATTAGAGCTTACTCACACTCTGTCAAGAAATATATTATGTGTTTAGGGCTCACCTGGGCTCAAGCTCACCAACCTTTTTCTCAACCGGAATCACTCGAACTCACAATATGCTATTCACCAGGACTGAATCAGATTCACATTCATGACCCCATCTGAGTCAGGGTCCGATTGAGTCGATTCATTGATTGAAGTTGCCTGAGTGTGTACTCTTTCAGTCACCGCATTTTTGCGCGCTGTTTTAATCTGTACTAAGAACCAACTAGCCCATTCAGCTATCTTACTATGTTTATTATTGATTGATTGATATGTAAGACTGAATGTCCTAAAACAACCATATGATTACGAAAGACGTCGTAGTGGAGGGACTCCGGAAATTCGGACCACCTCGGGTTTTTTAACGTGCACTCAAACCTGAGCACACGGGCCTACAGCATTGTCGCCTCCGTCGATTACTATGGGTAGTAGGGCCAGCAATGCTTGTCCATTAAAGTGTGTAGGATGAGCGAAGAACATGCGTTTCATCAGCACAAAATTCTGGTGAAGTCAGCGTAAACACGAATGGTAAAAAAGAAAAACTTATAATGATGGTCAGTGAAAGTCACATGGCGTCTAAGAAAATGAATATTTATTTCACTGTCCGAAAAATTATATGGCCTCATTGTCACATGGCATAAATTACGTCATCAAAACAATAACAATCACCAAAAGCTATGATTTAATGATGACGTAATACATTAGACAAGCCATCATGAAGATCGAAGTGGCCCAAGTTCATGGCGTCATGATGACGTCTTAAAGTTTGGGAGAGAAACGTTGTGACTGACTGACAACATCAAAATAATTCAATCAGATTCTTGTCAGAGCATAGGCCGTCGGGCGTCCTGTAAGAGCCTGCGTTCTTACTGTCGTCGGCTAGAGAAACGATCAATATTTCGGCAGTCATTAACTACAGCAGAGTGCATTGTTAGTTATACGTACTAGTTTCTTGACGTGTTGTTTGCAAGGGTGGCTTGTTAGCCTTGTTGGTGTGGAATGTTCGTAAAGGTAAGCGCGGCCCTAAATTCACGAGGACGGGACAGAGAAAACACACACAAGCGATTGTTCAAGATTAGCGCCTGTGTGTGTTCCCTCTGTCCCGTCCTCTTGAACTCATTGTCGCCTTTTCCTTTATGAAGGTGTTTGTTTGTGGGGCTTGTTGACCAAACTGCTAAAATACTTGCTAAAGCAGTACCCTGATTATCATAACGTTACGTCAAAGCCTGAGTAAGGTTTCAAAGACATGTATCTCGGGTATATTTTGATAAAAGTGCTGCTTTTTAAGGTGCATGAGCCAGTTTCAGCTAAGCTGTAGAGACATGTGAAAGCTTGTTTGATTTACCGCACTTTACTGCGGCTTTGATGAAACAACACCAAATAGTTCATATCACCACAATTTTGTTTTTTATGCCTAGATAAACACACTTCCACGCACTATGCCACTGTGTTGCCTATATGTATGATGAAAACAAGCCATACGAATGTATTTGCCAATACAATTCATTTAGGCGTTTAGCTAGCCCGCGTAGTTATGCTCTTCTCAAAACAAAAACAAAAATGGTACGGAACTTTGCAGACTTCAGCACTTGTCTGCGAAGTTCCGTAGGATGTCAGGCACACATTATTTGCTGCTGTTCTCATTACGGAAGAGGGGCCCCAATAACTTACCTCTCCCAAAACCCACTACCAAAATGAAACCACTGTTTGGGATGCGTTATTTATTCGCTGACGCATTGTGACAGCCACATCAGGGAACGCACGAAGTGGGAAACAGAACGTTGGCAAAAAACAGCAAGGAAATCAAATGCATGTGATCCACATACACGTAATCTAATTACTTAACCCTTCTAAGCCGTCAACTGCGGTCGATGGAACAATTGCTGGCATTATGCTCTCTAAACACGCAGATTCATGACAATCATGCCAAAACACACGATGTCAACGGAGCCTGCTCAGCTGTTCAGTTGATTGTTAAAACACTCAAGCTGCGAACCAGCCGGTAGACATACTGCACCGGAATAAAAGTTACATAAACAGGAGTAAAGACCGCGCAATTAAAGAAACGCGGCAGTATTGACAGAACATCCCTTGCTCACACAAAGTGGCAGGTAACGAGCAGTTTTATAACGTGACAAAAGAATAATAGAGCGTGAATGCTTGACATTGAATGGTATGCACCCTAAACACCGCCTGCTGTTTTGGTTGTCCAAGAAGAACACGCCCCCTGCTTCCCTTTCTTTCCCGGACGTCACCACGGAACTGCGGAAAAAAAAAAAAACTCGGCCACTGTGACGGTCGATAATTTGCGACCAACGCTGATGACGCCTAATTGCGCTTGCGGGCTAAAATAGCCTCGCGTTAACAACGCTGTCTCCGGGGTCTGTTCGCACATGCGACGGTCACCACTAAGCGTTTTCCACTTCCGCCCGCGAAAGTTTTCCGCGCTGCAACCGGCGCCACCCTAACGATAGTGATGGTCAACGCATGTCGTCGATACAGTGGATGTGGAGTCCTTAATTATCTTTCGCTGACTACTGCGTGACGTGAGTAACAAAACGACAAGTAGAAAGCTGCGGAAACTTTGGAAATTAGCTTAATGTCGACACAGCAGTAAATTTGGTTTACCTGCAGTTGTGTTAGTGGACATTAATCTGGACATGTGTAGCACCATGTCTATAACGGGGACATCGTACGCTTATATCCGTAGATCTTCTAGAACCATTATGTGACGTCACTTATGAATGAGTCTAAGGCACAGGTGTTAAAGAACTGCACAGGCAAAGAAAGAAAGAAAGAAAGAAAGAAAGAAAGAAAGAAAGAAGGAAGGAAAGAAAGAGAAAGAAAGTAAGGAAGAAAGAGAGAAATAAAGAAAAATAGCCTCAGCGTTTTTTTTTATTTTTTGCCGGCGTGTTCACAACAACACGTCTAATAACAAATAATTAAATTACGTACATTTTCTATACAGTCGCGAAACAAGATATTTTCACGTTCAGCGTATATTTGACGGCTGGGTAACTACCCTGCATTTTAGTGTACTATATGCTGTTTCAAACAAGGTGTGCAGCTATCAGCGTTTTTCCTTGTCATTTTTTCTGAGCACTTGGACATTTTGTGCATTCAGAATAATAATAATAATAATAATAATAATAATAATAATAATAATAATAATAATAATTACATCTCAGCCAGAACATCGCCGAATAGTTAAACCATTATGAAGACTAGGAACATAGAACGTTTTCAGAGATATTCAAAGTGACACCTTGAATCCCGACATCGCATTGACGAGCACTCAGTAGTTCCTGAAACACACAAACGTAATCATGTATAAAGTCTCTGATCTCGCGCCTAAGAGTACCGTCAGAAAGGTCAACATCATCAAGTCACGAGGTCATTCAAGGAAAAAAAAATGACGAGCAAATAAATACCACAGAAAGTTGATTGATATGTGGGGTTTAACGTCCCAAAACCACCATATGATTATGAGAGACGCCGTAGTGGAGGGCTCCGGAAATTTCGACCCCCTGGGGTTCTTTAACGTGCACCCAAATCTGAGTACACGGGCCTACAACATTTCCGCCTTCTTTGGAAAGGGCAGCCGCCGCAGCCGGGATTCCATCGTGCGACCTTAGGCTGGCGGAATGATGCAAGTATAGCTGACGCAGGCACGCCCTTCCCTTATGGTAATCGCCGCAGTGTGAGGCACTAAAGCACTAACCGACTAAGCTGCATACTTGGGCACTAACTTTTCTTTCCATCGCTTTCCTCTTTTCTATCCTTCCTTCAATCTCCCCCATCTCTTTCCCACGTGTAGGGTAGCAATCCGGTTACCTTGGACTGGTTGACTTCCCTACATTTCCTTCTCTACCATTTTAATCACTGTAATTAAGAGCCGGTAAGCCGCTTTGTTAACAGATGTGTTAAACGCGTGCTTGTGCCCTTTTCTTTAAGGGACGTTACGGCTTGTACTGGTTCGTGATGCTACCCGAAGTTACAAAACAGGAACAAGCAAACTGTGATATCCAAGAAGCTTGTCGACGAAGTGGGTTTCCCGAACTCGATTACATATGAATACAGAGTACGATGTTTGCAACAAGATGTTCAAATAATTATGCTTGCAGTACGCCGTGACTCTTTTTGATCCCTTTTGAGTGCCGTCGCGCCAGATACCTGTTAGGCGTTTTTGAGCTTCTTGTGTGACAGTGGCTTGTCGGTTAGACTACATTACTCCCGCTTTACACTTTCCTTTTCTCTTCGTTTGTTTCTGTCTTTGTTTTTGTGCAGCTCCTCGTCCTTCCGCTCTTCTT